CTATCCACTTAGCAAGGGCTCATATCTGCATTTGTCACTTACAAATATACGTGTAAGGTCATCTTTGGTAAACTAAAGGTTAAAACTAATGTGATAAAGAGATCATATGTGCTCTAATGTTTTCAGCTAGATAGACTGGTTCAATTTTAAATCACTACATTTTAAATTATATTCTGTGAAGCGGTGTGAGACATCTTCCTAATGTGAAAGGTGCTATAGCAAATGAAAGGAAAATTAATTATCATTAACTCCTGGAAGCAGAATGGCTAGAAAACAGTTAAATGTTGTTTGTATAATCTAATCTAATTGCACAGTCTCACTCTTCATATGCCTAACAGCAAAGTCATAGAAATAAACTACGACCTGTGCCTTCAGCACAAATGGAAATTAAAGCAAGTTAAGTGCGTATGCAAATTGCCTGGAAATATTTCCTTACAACTCGCCTAATGTATTCACTTTGCGAAGCCTCAGGCAGTATCAACATGAGAAACTAATTCACTGTTTTTAAAGCCATTGTAAACAGAATAGCGCACAATAGATGAGCATTTACTTTATGGTTCTCCCAAGTTACTTTTATTGTCATTGAAATTCCTAATTGATTACTGACTCTGTATTTCAAGTTATGCACCATTATTACATGGATTGAGTATAATGAAAAGCATTAGTTACAGGGCCAGAATTTAATGCTAACTTGTCATCTCTATAACAGTTCATAGCCTAGTCAGTAATGGATACTCTACTAGCATTTGGTTTAAGGAACATTGGTGGACTGAGTAATGGAAGCTCTGCATCTATTCTAATGAGTGTTTAATGCTAATTTGGGAGCCGGGGACGGGGGAGTAGAAACAGTTCAATTCCCTAAACTAACATTATCCCAGTAATAAGCAAAACATCACACATTACAATTATTTCCAAAATGTAAATGATGTGTGGTTAATTGCATGCGTAAATATAAAGTTTTATTCCATTTCAAACCAACCAACATTCTCAAAACTACACAAATTTTTGGCATTTAGTTAAAGCTTCAGTCTGCTACATTTGCAAAGCTCTTAAATTTTAGATTTCAGTTTACAGCATTCCAGATGCTGTTAGATTTACCCAACCTATGTCTGGGAGCTTGCCATTAAACTATATTTAACAACCAATGCGGGTTTATGAAGATAATAATCCTTGCATTTGACATAGTGCCTTATCACATCATTGAGATGTCCAAAGCGCTTCACGAGATGATAATAATAATAATCTTTGCATTTGATATAGTGCCTTATCACATCTTCAAAGCGTCTCAAAGAGCTTCACAGAATATATTGTAAAGTGAATTGACTGTATATTTTGTGGGTGAAACGCAGCAAACAGTCAGCGATTGAGTGACCACATTTTTTTTAAGGGATTATTATCCCCAGAAAACCGATCCGCCAATCGACTAACAACCGGGTTCCTACTTAGTTTTAGGTAAACAGAGGCGTGTGGAGTAAGGAAAGTTGCCCAACGTTTCACCCTGCCCGGGAATCAAATCTAAGTCCTCTCGCTTGCGAGGCGAGTGCTCTTACGACTAAACTACAGGACTCCATATAGGGTACACTGTAAAGTGGACTGAATGTGCATTTTGTGGGTGAAAACATTATTTATGAGCGAGCATTATTTGATTGATATACTAATTGTAGAATAAGGATGAAAACACAAGTGCATCATTGTTGTATTATTACAACCGGGCACTGTTTTCAATGTCGCAACAAAGTTGCATGGAAGGATAACAACATTAAACTATGCCCCAGTTCTGGCAATTACACAAATAAGGAAGCACATTAGGAATTCAGATAATTTTCTCACATTTCCACAATCTTGAAAAAATGTTCATGCTTAGTTATGGCTTTTCTAATAGAAAGATTATGCTGCTGCAAGGAAAATCTTATGCAGGTAAGTGCTGCAGGACCATCATAACTTTCAAATCAACTAAAATCCTCTTACATTTCCTCTGATTCAGTCTGGCTCCAGAGCCAACGCGGGAAACTTATAAAATAAAGTGTAAAATAAATGCTTATCTTGTAGGAAACCCTGATTTTCAAATAAAGATATATGAGATCTTTCCTGATACTCTTAATATTAAAGAATTGTTGAGTAATATCCAAAAGGTGCTTACTGAGTTTTTTTTGCAATATATCAACTTTGCAGAGATGTGATCTATTGTATATAGTTCGGGGAATACATATCTTGTTTATCTTATACAGTACAAGACATCCTCCTTCACTCAAACTCCTGGATGTTCATTTGTGTTGAGCAAAGCATTTTATTTTTGACTGTTTCTTGATCTGAAAGAGGATTTTGTCATATTTATGCATGNAAAAAAGATGCATTTCCATAACTAGCATGGTTCTGAGCAGCTCTACCAAATAGTGCCTTATAACTCAATTAGGGAGAGGCTAAACAAAGACAACAGAAAATATTATTTCCTCTTTTTATTGCTTCAGTAATTTCATACATAAATGAGCAAAATTGTTCAGATTACAAAACTAGATAGAAGAAAGAGTTTATTTCAGCAAACTTTGAATAGAATGCATCTACAAGCATTTGCTTACAGTAACCTGATATGGAGCATGGGAGAGACTCGCAGAGCTTAGCCTTTTCATCATTCAGTTGGCTGAGCACACAGCAGATCATGTAACATCCTCTCAGAATGGTTGAACAATTCAGTCTCAAATTGAAAAGGCAATGGAATTTAACGTTTCTTTTCTGTGGAAAGTTTGATGAACCAATTAACTCTTTCCTTACATTTTCTCAACCTGGGGTGTTTCAGGTCATTCTCATTTTCATTATTTTTTCTTTCCAACTTTCCTTTCAATTTCCTTTTTTCACCATTCAACACAACTGTTTTATAGCTTCAACTCCTGATTGGGGAGGGTGGAGGGAAACAGATGCACAAGTGACAGAAGCCCTTTTATATTGAATATTATTCATTTGTGAGCCTCAAAAAATGGAGTATAAGCACACTTTTCAATTTGGGAACCATTACAGACAAATCAATCCTGAAGTTGTCAACATTCACACATGGGCATTTTTAGGAGGACTTGCTGTATAGGAATCAGGAACAGGAACCATGATGGAACTTTCACTTCCCTAAACAGGAGTTCAGAGGATCAACACCACTATAGATGATGAACTAAATCAACTCAGACCAAGATTCAAACCTATAAATGTCACTGGACTACATGGCCCAAAGACACATCTCACCAATGATTTTTTAATATCAATTTTTGCCGAATTATTATTAGATCTCAGAGTTCATTTGGCTTAAAGACGTATTACCAAGTTTTGACAAAGAAAGGTGCATACATAAATAACGACATTTAAATATTAATGATTTATACTAGTTTAATATAAAACCACAACTGTTTTATATTAGATTATAGCACATGTTTTCCATGACAACATTTCACTCATTAAAAGTTCATTGCATCCAAATCTGGATTTTGCTTATTTAGTAATGAGTTAGACCCACTACCAACAGTTTAATGTAATGGGAAAGCCATTGAGTTCAAGTTCAATGAACAAATGGTTCAAGCTGAAATTTCTGCACTTATGACAATCACTTGAGAAGGTTGAGTTATATTGTATTACATAAATGTAGAGAGAACGTGCTACAATGTCTGCTTTCTCATGTTGAAACCTTATGGGAAACTTCACAATAACAAAGGTAATGATTATGTGACTCAATGCCTCCCATAGCTGTAACATTTAACACAGTCATTGTGCAGAACAGATGGAACTTGATGAGATGAAACATTGTTCTCTATTGGCCTCTGCTGTCGATTCCAGTGCTCTGGGATTCCACCCCACGTGAGGGGCGCTATATAAATGCTAGTTGTCATTGTTTTCACCATCATTTATTTAATAACGACTTAGACCTCGTGTGTAAAAAAAATTATGTATGCACCTCTTTCTGTCAAAGCTTGGTCTATCCTAGAATTTCCTAAAAAAAATCAAAATAGCTCCATTAAAATGATTTTGCTTTGCATTAGACGTAGCAGAATGGCATTGTTTTTTTGAATAGCAGTAGCTGAGATAGAAATGTACATTTAACTTACAAATATAATTGATTACCTTTAAGATTGTAATTATTATGTGATGAAAATGCAATAAATGACTATTATCATTGTGATAAATGTCATACTTCATATCACATTTTTCACACCTAAAAGTGAAAGTTCAGGTAAAATATCTAATTTGCTGGTTATTGATTTATGTATTGAATAATTATTGATGTTTTTCTTGTAAACATATATCAATATTTGATATAACAAATCAAAGCAATAGAAAACTTTTCCAAAATATTTACTTTGTTTCGAGTTCTGTTCCATTACTTCTGCAAGCAAATTGGTCAAGTCTCGCTTATTTAACTTGCAATACTTAACACACAAATATAACAATCAAATATTATACTCACAAAGTGGTATTGAGTATTTATATGGAATTAATGTTAGTTTTAAACCTATGATGTGTTTGGCCAACACCACTACTGACAGTTACATGTCACCATAAAAAAGTACATTTTGAATTCTTGCAGTAGTGTTGAAGCACCTAACACTTTTTAATAGAATGCAAGAAAAATCTTCCTTGCATTGTAATTTGAGCCTTCCCATCAAGTCAAATTCTATTTCAGAATGTCTTGGGATATCATTGACAGATTTGAAATCCAATCCACAAAAGTGAGTTGTTCAGGTACACCCCTAAGATACTAAAATTCCCCTCATTAGTAAAGTTACCTAGCATAGCGACATGCATTATACACAACAAAATTGGTTGACTTTACAAACCAGTTGAATTTCACCATATGGATGTCAGTAAAGACATTTCAATCCAACTAGCAAAACCTAATGCCTGGAAATTTGTATTGTATGAAATTTAAAATTATTTTAGGTCACTGAAGGTATTATTTTATATGTGTCCCTAACAAAATGTATGGAGTGAAATCCAATGAAATATGTACTTGACACATATGTAATTTATGCATTTCGTTCCCATGGTTCAATGTATTCCAAGCCCAGATGAGCAAAGATTTCTTCCTCAGTCTTAGCTGTAAGAAATACCTTCTGTAAAAAAAACAAAGAGTTCACTTTAGTGAATAATCAAATTTTAGAGACATGGTGTGCTAAACATACAGTTTATATATCAGTTTTTTTCTTAATACTGGTATAAGTGGAAAATTATTTTCTGTAAAGACAATAGCAGTATATATTTAGTTTACATGGAGGTTCATTTAAATTCTTCAAGCCTCTGTTAACAATATGATGCAAACATCAATTCTGTTTCCAAATTGTTACAGCAGAAGTGTGTAGGAAATTTGTCTTATTTCGACAATGGTCAAATTAAACATAAAAATACCGTAGAATCATTTTAGTAATATATACAGTGCAGTAAATAACCTGGTTTATCACATCAATAAATAAAAATACTCTTTTGCCAGGCTTACGCAATGTAACAGAGATTTAGAACATTTGATTCAGAGGGAAAAGTACATTTTATAATCTACTTGATTGTTATATATAGACAATATATACAGTTTTAATACGTACAATACAATGCAATACAATACAATATATTAGTGCACTGCACTTAATAACATGACAAGTATTTTCTTTTATAAAGTCTGGATTTAATATTTTATAGGAGAGAGAAATCTAAATAGTTTTAAAATAAAATGTTTCCAGTATTGTTCACCGAGCTAGTAACCATTTTTATCTTTGGCTTGACCATAAACCTAAACAAAATATTTTAAAATCAAGCTGATTTTAAGATTTTGTATGGAATAAAAATTAATTTCCATGACTTTTATTTGAATTTTCAGTTTTATTAACATTCTTCACATTGAGTTATGGAGCTGGAGCCTTACCCCTTCTTTATGGACTCTATGAAGAAAATCCCATGAATCTGATTCAACTTCAAGCAGATTTTCCCGATGTTACACACTCAGTTCTGGCAAGAAGTGAAAGGAACTCACATGGTCAATTGGAAGGCATTGAAGCAGCCTCCACACCTTCCTATCCTAATTGTAGTTTATTTTAGAATCCAATTTAAATATTTCAGTGCACTTTAATGAATGGGAAATTTGTTACATTTTAATTACTTTGCACCACACAGATATAGCAATCTATGGCCATGAAGACAGGCAACTAGTTTGCTCCCAGACTCCAATCAAAGCGAATAAGTGAGGTGCTCTGTCACTTGATAAGAACATAAGAAATATAAGAAATGCTAGACAAAAAAAAAACAATGTCCCTCTAGTTCGCCTACCACCTTCCTGGCAATCGCATGTACATATGTTCTAAACTACCTATGTACTATATCCCATAATATTATTTCACTGAGCTAGTGAAAACTATCTAAGCTGTTTGAAAGAATCAATACTTCCTGCTTCAACTGTCTCCCTAAGGAGCCTGTTCCACAGGTTCATTATTCGCTCACAGAAATGCTGTTTGCGTAAATTCATTCTGAATTTACCCGCCCCCCTTCAATCGCAGGCTGTGTTCTCTGGTTTTATATTTCTTGACAAGTTGAAACAGCCTGTCATGATCTACATTGTCTTGCCCCTTTAGAACCTTAAAGACAGCAATCATGTCAGCCCTCAATCTTCTCTTCTCCAGCAAGAACATGCCCAATTTACTTAGTCGCTCCTCATAGTCCAGTCCTTCCATTCCATCAATCATCTTGGTTGCCCTCCTCTGTATCTTCTCGATGTTTCCAATATCCCTTTTGTACTGCGCAGACCAGAACTGTACACAGTACTCTAAGTATGGTCTCACCAATGATTTATACATTAGAAGGATTACCCCACTATTTTGGCCTGCTATTGATCTTTTGATACAATAGATCTCTGATCTTATGTTTTAAAAAGTTTTTAAACACAATTCATCAAAGTGAAATGTAGAGAATAACATTAATTTCAAATATCAAATGTTAATACACAATACATAGGATAACAGTGTTTATTTACTCAGTGTCTCAGTTTCCATATTGAGTTTCACCTACATCCCTACATACCAAATTCTTAGTTTTAAACACCAGACTTTACTAATACTACATATAAACTATGAATATTGAGTTTATCTGGCAAAGCTACATTAGTTGCAATCTATTACCATTATCATCCCTGGAAATATGTTTATGCCTCAAGTCTAGAGCCTTCTAGTTTTCTTTCCTCTTTACAGCAACAACAAAATTACATTTATAGAGCGCCTTTCACGTCGGGAGGACGTTCCAAGGCGCTGGACAGTCAGCGATCAGGACTTTATTGATATTAATCATAATTCATTATGCTACCACCTTTTCATGATGGGGAAACTAATGGGACAATACAGATTTAATGATGGCAGTACTGCAGGATCCTTTATTTCATGCTTAAAGGGAGAGCAGATAATGAACAACCTGCCTCCTTTTTCATTCTGCCAGGCTACTTCTTTTTATTCTAGTCTTTGTGCACCTAAAATAGAAACACATTATCCATCAATCAATTTTAATAAATGCAGCACGGTCTACCTCACCATCATTACGCTCCAACAGTGAGTTACACCCCATCTCAAAATCAGCTAATCTTTTGTATTTTTCAGCGCTTGAAATAATTACATTTGTGGTTTGAAACATTATTATTAACGCTACTTAACAAAAGCAGCTGCAAAATGTGATCTGTAGCTTTTTGTGTACATCCTGTTTGTCATATGCAGCCATGATCAATACCTATAATAAAAACGTAAAACGTGCCAATTGATGTTTTGCCAGTGAACACATTAGCATTTTTCCAGTGTTTCTATTGTGGTAATTGAAACTTGTATTGATGCCATTCGTCTACTATAATAATAGCTTTGCAAATGTTACAGTACCTAAGAAATGTTTTTTAATCTCAGATTGTACTGTCAATTTATTGTAATGTATTCCATACACTGTACCTCCTACAACACTATTTATATATCACTGGATGCTCTGAAAAATGTTCTGTGGATCCTCTCTAATCAACAATGCTTTATTCAATGGGGATTCAAAATTAATTGCAACCTTATTCAAATGTTACACCAGAAAATGCCCTTAAGTATTTAGAATGCCGTCTATATTTGTACAAACAATGACATTTTCTGGTTGTGCGATATTCTGCAAATGGTATGAACATGAAACTAAAACAGTTCATTGAAGACTTCAGATAGCACACAAAGGAAACTTCAAATGCACCTTCATGACAGCTTGAAACTGTCAACCATCAGAAGAACTGTGTTTAAAGATCTGCCAGGATAGGGTTAATCACATGTTACAATTTTATAGAATATCTGCAAAATTGAGACAAAGGATAAGCAGTTGGATAAGCAATCTGAGATGTCTGGTGTGAATGGTGCTATATAAATGCAAGTTGTTGTTGGATAGATGTCAACTAATTAACATCCCAAAACAAGTCCAACCCGTAATGAGGACAGAGCTTTTCTCGTTAATCAGTGACTCGCATTCACCACGCACAACTCAGGAGCAATCAGCACTCTGGAACACTTCTGTACAAGTGTAGTGAGTGTTCAACTCTACCTGGGAGTGAGAAATGCACAGAGAGATGGTTGTTATAGGAAATGGGGAAATCAACTGCAAACCTCACCATATGGTCTCTCGCTCTGTCATTCTTCTCTCTGTCTTTTCCAGTGAAAACAAGCTGCCTTTTCTCCTGAGTCCCACTTCATAATTTAACGCAGCAGCAGTGCCAGCACTGTCAAAAATAGCTGATACTCTGAACACACAAAAAGACAGTTTTACTTGTGCATGCACACAGGCAACAATTGACACATGAGCAGCTGCGCCTTTTGTGGGTGCTGGGGGCAATTATGATCAGCAGTTACATGATGATGAGTGAATAAATATGACTGTGTACAGCATAACATCTGCATCTAAACAGCTTCTCTTCTGCACTTCCCTATTTTCATCCTCGCCTACCCCGCTATAGCCCCGATAATTGTCCATGATCTCTCCAAAGGAACTCAATCATCTCTCCAAAGTTTTTTTCAAGAGCACTCATCATCAGCTGTTACCTGATAGCCTCCACTGCTCCTAGTTGGATCTATTCTCCATATTATGCACAGTAAAAGTGCAAATATTGAGCTTGATCCTTTGAAGGCAAAGAGATTAAGAATCTTTTCGTTGTGGACATAGATGAAAGCTTCTAAAACTATTCTGAAAGACTGTGCTTAAAAGTGCATTTTCTTGTATTTTGATTGGATCTTTTTGGAAGTTAAACATCCCAGCCGTGGTGTAACTAAGCATATATTTATTCATTCAGTGAAACAGCTATGTCTAATAGACATATCTTCCACCTATCTTATCAAAGAATTCTATTAGAAATCGCCACATAGTAACCCCCCCAGTGTCATTTTATGTCAATTTTTCCTAACACTTCCAATGTAATATTATTAAATGATGTGGCATGATTTGAAGTAACAAATCATCTAAAAATGTTCACTTTTATTTATTTGGTTACTTTTTCAGCCATTAAAAAATATAAAATCCAATCGAACAGATTTATATTTGTGACTTTTGCTGTGAAACTCAATGCACTGCTTAGACCAATCATACCAATATTTGAAGGTTACGCATATATATATATATATATATATATAAGATCTATGTTATACTTCAGATTTTACAATACATCAAAGTAAAAACCAGGTCAATTTTTTAAGCAATGTCTCCCCGAGTCATAGAATTCAAAAATCCAATAGTTTTCCAGGATTTATTCTCCCCAGGATCCATTTTTCAGATGTCTCAAAATGGCTTTGTTTAAAATCTGAAAAGATTAATTCTGATTCTGCACATCAAAATCTCAAATCTACAGTCATCCCTTTTTGCATTTCTACATTCCTGATATCCTTTTTTATATTTCAATCAGTGCTATTCAATGGTTCACCATTCATTAGCTAGAATATCAACATATTTATATTAAAAAAGATTCTACGTAGTGTTAGATCTGCAGTGGTTCCTGCTTTCGTGGAATTGGTATATTTAATGGGATTGGAAATGAGGTACATAGCATTCCAGGCCAAATGTTGCTCCAGACATGCAAAATGGTACT